GCGGGCTCTGCTCACCACAACATTCAGGTCATGTGTTGTTGTAGCCTTCAGCAGAAGGCAGCGACATAAACATGTCTTCTGGAGCCTGTGAGGGTGGTTTCATTTAGTCTGGCATTCATTTGAGGAGTACATTTGTTTAGTCTTCCCTTTTACCTAATTTGTCATCACTGACTTTCCAAGATTACTTTGCCTCTTTGTGTTTAACCAGAGATAAAACTGTGTTGCCATTGTATCCAATTACAAATTGCTGCTGAATAAGAACAATCTTACAAGCATTAACTATATTTTTTTTATTTATGTATAGATTTCTTATATTAGGAAAGTGTTTTGTATACTCTAATGGCCTTATGGGTCACATATGTGTTTGTAAGAATGGGGACAGCAAAGCCTGGTATAAAAAACCTGGACATTTCAAAGGGACATTGGTTAGAACGTTTTACATTTACATAAATCCGTACATTGAAAACATTTTTAAGTAGCATCCTGTAAATTTTTTTTTTTCAAGTTCTAGAAGAATCGGTTATCATTTGAGAGGGTGTTCTTGTGGTTACACTGTGTAATTTCTGTGGTGATTAATGATACCTTCTACTATCTACAAGAAAACGCATTTTCCTTCCTTAAAATGAAAAAGGGGGAAGCTGCACAGCTCTCCTCGCAGGATACTGGCTGTATGATTTTATTTTCCCCACTTGAGCTATATTGCCAAAAGCTGTTGATGGCAGGTACTGATTTTCTGTACCTGCTTACAGCTCTTCTGTCCACAGCTCTCCCAGTATGCTGCTGAGCTGAACTAACAATCCAGATAGTGCTTTAAAGTTAAGGGCCTGTGTCAAGTTCTGTGTCCATTGAAACACGTAGGACTAGCATTTTACTCAGACATTTGAAGCAGACTTCCTGTCAGACACTGTGATGCTGCTTCATTAATCAAGTTTTGTTTGACTCTGTGCACATAATTCAAGATTTTTCAGAATTAAATTTCTGAGAAGAATGAAGTGTTCATGCAAAAGGTTTCTCTAACAGTATTACAGTGTTATTTTTAAGGGCCCTTCCAACCCAAAACATTCTATGATTCTATATCATAAAAAATACACTCCAGGTGTGTATCCTCAAACAGAAAGAGGACAGATCTAGATTAAATCTAAGAATGTTTGCTGTGAGGATGGTGAGACCCTGGCCCACATTGCCCAGAGAGGTGGTCCAAGCCCCATCTCTTATTTTTTAAGAAGATTAATTACTTCATAGGTTTGAATTTTTCAATAATTTTTAGAAAGTTGTTTAGTTTTCTAACTGACGTGATTTTATGCCCATTTTTACCATGACAAGGTGATTCATAAAGAATGACTCTTATTGGATCTCCTTTCATCTGTTCTAAAAAAATCAGTGCTGGATAGTTGTGCAGTAAAGAAAATTGCAGTGGACAGTGTAGGTTTCCAGTGATAGGACTATACAAATGTTCTGCTCTATTTGCCCATCTAATTAGCAAGGTATATAAACATGCAGCTCAGACATTTGATTTAGTTACATCCTTTTTCCAGTCTTTTATCTATATCTTCCTGTATTGTAAATGTGTTGAAGGTAGAGATAAACATCTAACTCGTACAGAATCCTTTGTCTGAAGAAAACACAAAATGCTAGTATGGCATTTTCTGTCTTTTTTTTTTTTTCTCTTAACTGTCTCTTTTGTTAAATCATATTAGGACTTTTTGGGATTTCGTGACTTCCTCTCAAAGCTCCATTTTTTCCAGTCAGGCTATTTAATAGACCATGTCTTGTCGCCATTACTGGTGTTGCAACCATCCAGGTCATCACTGTGCTGCCGAGGACTACATTTCCCAGAGGACCTCGGGACTTCCCGCTATCATTTCTGTCAAGGACTACATATCCCATCATCCACTGCAACTTCCGACCGATGCCATCTTGGGTGAATTCAGAGCCAGTAATCCGGCTGTGTGTATCCACTCACACTCTGCCCTGAGAAAACCACCTTTTTCTTTCCTGGATGATTCTAGTCCTTCACTTTGGCTTAGTCCCCCCATTTCCTTTCACCAATCCTACCCCTCTGGGTTTTTCCTTTGACATCTACATATTACCCATCTTGAACCTTAAGTTTTTATTGGCGTTGTTTCTAAATAAATCAAACGGTTTGTTCATTGACTATTGGCCTCAGTGATATTTTATGTGCGTGGTGAGAGGGTGTTTTCGACCTTCCCTCTGCGACAGGATCCTGCACGAACATCCTGGTCATGTTCGCAGCTCTCCTCACTCCGAGGGGCGGAAGCCGCCACCCTGACCTCCGGCAGCTGCCGTCTGCCGGCTCGTGGCAATATGCTAGCTGGCATCAGCAGTCACAAAACTGGGATCTTAGAATGAGAAGCCGTTTTATTGATTTTGTGTTCTGCCAGCTAAAATATGCTACTGAGTACAGAAGCTTTGTAGTTAATTCTTGCTCTTTGCCTGGTTCTATTTTTTGGATGCATTTGTGAAAAATATTCAAATAGAGGGAATTAAGTCACTGTGAAGTGGACTTTCCCCAACACTGTAAGCTGAATGTTCTTTTTTTGGTAACAGTATTTGTTACTGTTTAAAAATTTACTCCATTATTTAGACAAACAAATGTTTATTTCTATGTGATTTTAAAATAATTGTAAATTTTGAAGTTACAGGTAATGATTTAATTGGTTTGATCAGAAACATCTAAAGACAGTATAATTTCTACCAGATCTTAAGATTTCTTCTTGCAACTTCTGTGATACATTTTCAGTAGTTGGGAGAAATATCAGACTTCATTCTGTCTTTTAGAGGTGGCACCATTGAATCACAGGGCTGACTGTGGTGGTTACAGATGCCAGTCCTTGGTCCATGTTTGCTCTCCTAGCTTGTTACTAACAAGCAATTTACATAATTAAACACTAAATTCCCTTCTGGTCTTCTCTTTAGGCTAAACAGCACAAATTTGTTGTATCTTGTTATTCATAATAGCCTAGTATGGATAGTAATTAAAACCTCTATAATTATGTCTTCCTCCATAAGCAGTCTGAGAAAGTGGTCGGATCTAACATATATATTAAAGTCATACCTTTTAAGACACGAAGTGTTGTGCTACAGTTCTCTTGTTCCAAGTCAAAGCGCCCCGTGGGAAAGCACAGCTATGCTTTTGATCTGCACACATTGCTTAGTTAGTATGCAACCAAAAAAAATAGCATGGTGAGCTCAGGTCTAGTTATTTAACCTGTAGCATGTGGCAGTTTCAAAATACAGACTTTTAGGATCTAACCGAACTAAGAGCTCTGTATTTCAACCATGACAGATAGTTTTTTCTTCAATATGTGTCCTGTACTCCTGCAGAGAAGAACCAGCTTCTTGATTGGAGAGAAGGATGTTGTTTTTAAAAGAAGACCTGAACTATGACTTGTTGGTTTTCCAAGCATGACAGTCTTCACTGGTTTTTGGTGATGGTGGCATGTGCAATACTGACACAGTCGTAACACAGAAATATGATTGCCATACATTAATTTGAAATTCTGAACTAGAGGCAGTGAATCAAAGCCATGAGATTAATGCTTTTTCATCATCCGTTATAACATGCAGCTGGAAATTCAGCTTGTGCTTGTTTAAGCAAAATTCCCATACAAGACGATTGACTTTATGCTCCTGTTTTCCTTGTATTAATTTAGGTTCCCACACTTACATTTCAGAATAATGGGACTTCCTACCACAGTAATCTATTTTATCTGCTATGACTAACTGAGTGAAGCTCTGAAATATAGACTGAGAAAGGATGATGAACACATTCCAGTTCTTGCAAAGTTCTTTAAGCAGATGTAAGTTGTCATGTTTTTAAAGAGAAAACTGAAATAAAGTACCTGTATGCTGTTTACCTGGCTTGTCTTTTGTTGTTTTGCTTTAAAAGTAAATTTGCTGTGGCTTTAAATGAGGGATATTACATGGAGCTAAGCATAGGAAAAAATATTGTAATTACCCAGTATTTCTTAGGCAACTTCTATCCTGGAATAACGTGATTTATTTTTGCTGTTACACTTTCACTACATTTGTTTAAAATTTTATAGTTCAGATTTCTACCAAGGACAGTTTAATTTAAGTCTGTTCTGTGGTGAATCTAATAATAAACTTATTTTCTACAAAGGAAGCTACAGAGGTAATTACAGGGAAAATTAAAATTGGACTTGTACTGTTTTTACTGCTTTATGACATAAAGGGACTGAATTTCTTTTTATATTTTCTTACTTTTGTTTCTCCTTTTCATCGTCTATTTTTGTGGAAGTAGATGAGGTCATATGTATTTGAGCTTTCTTAGAAGACTTAGAAGCAGCTGTACATGAGTGTAAGGAGTAAAGTGGCTACAGATGGATGGTTTTCCCTGTGGAGGGGCTGGAGCTCCACTGTTCTAGGAGATGTACCTTTCTCAGGTGGGGTTTATTTTCTGTACGAGTTTGTGTTCTGTCAGAAGACCCGTTAATGCGTAACTCTTCTAGACTCTTTTCTGTGGTGTTAGGTAATTATAATGGTTAGCTTTAAGAACGACTGAGATTTAGTTGTTCTCTTTTGGGTGCTTTATTTTAAAATTCTTTGAGGACCTGTTTGTGGTTTTTTTTTTCCCCCGTTTTGTTTGTGGATACCAGCCAGGGTTCATTGTTACATTGCCTTTCTCTGTACTTAGACTGTTCCTTTTTTGTCTTTAAAATCATAGAATACCAGGTTAGAAGGGACCTCAAGGATCAAGGTCCAACCTTTCTTAGCAAAAAACTAGCTTATGCTTGTCAAGAATTTAGCTTATGCAATGATTGCTTTTGAAGACTTTCAGTAGGAAATTTCCTCTGTCCTGTGGTGGGTATTTTCTTACAGAGAAACATGCTTTATCTAAGTGTTCTGATCCTTAGTTTTGAAAATGTACAAAGGGAGAGTGACACAGTGGTGTCTTCAGGAATTTTTTTAGCAAGATGACTGAGCTTGTATAACTGCTCCAAAACCCATGAAGCTAGAGCACCACTCGTTAGCAAATCTCCAAAGCTGAAAGTCTAGAAGAAAAGTCTGATACAGAGCATGGCTAGTCCTAGGACTATCCTCTAAGGTAATAGGGACAGAGGAGATCATGCTTTCTCCTTTTCTGAGCTACAGAGGTAATTAGATGGGCTGGCTAAAGGACAGTTTTCCCACTACTTAATGACCCTGGTGAGAGCCCCTGTCTCTTTGAGGCACGTTGTCAGAGCATTTGTGGATCATCAGGCATCAACTGTCCTTGAAGCAGTTTCTGTCCTTTGACTATTACCAGAATGAACACCTTGGAACACCTTTTGTTGGCCCAAAAACAATGCTTCTAACCTATGTTTGGAGGCAGAGAACCCCTGCAGTATTTGGCTTCTTATCTTTGTTCTGGTACTTCATTCTTAAAATAATCTGAAATGTAATTTAATTTGTGGTTCCAGACAGTCTAGTGAACCAATCATTGGTTTGGACTCTTAAGAGTATTTGAGCACATCTAGATGTGCACTGGGGATAAATGTTAAACTGGCCGTGAACCAAACCAATGCACGGTACATGGTGGGGATTAGGGTATTTAGTTTCAAATTGCACTTAGCAGTTAAGTGAGATAACAGAACTAAGTTATTTCATCCGTTTTCTTTTCCGAATGAATAATACTGTTTTCTTTTACTTTGCTACTGTTAGATGATTGAAGATTGTGGTTGGACTGTATTTCCTGCTAAGGATCCTGTTACTTGATGGAACTTAATTTAGCCTTCTGTGACAGGGAAGGCTTCTGAACCTATGGAAACATGCCTGCTCTAAGGCTAACGATAACTGTCAGAACCTTTTGCCAAAGTGCTTCCTGTTCAATATTAATTTTTCAATTTACTTCTTCTTCTCTGCCAAATGCATCTTTCTCTTAGGCTATTCTGCTAAGCTTTGTAAGGTAACTCTAGAATTCTTCATCTAATTCCTGTTGTCCAGCTTCAGGCAGAAACTCTTGTTCCTTTACTGATTTTTTTTCTGTAGCAACTTGACTGAGAGCTAGTGATCTTCCTTGATCTTCATTCCCTCTGCTGATTATAACAGTGGGAGGATCAGAGAATGGTGATTAGGGCCCACATGGGAGAGGGCTCTAAGCATGCTCTCAGCCCTTTTCAGACTCTTCTGTCCATGTCTGCTGTTCAACCACTGGTCCAAAACATCCTCGTTGGCTTTGTCAGTCTCCACACTGCTCTGGCATTCACTTCACAGCTGTCAGGCACTTGACTTGCCTAGGAATTCATAGGCATCATGAGGTGCTGGAAAGGCAGAGGCATGGGTTAACATGCAGCTACTGCTTTAGAGGTTAAGGATTATTGTTAAAGAGCCAGAAGTGAGCAGAGAATTGGAGGCATGAATAAAGGAAAATGTTTGGCTTTTTTTTTAAAGCATAATGAAATGCCACAAAACTATGATGATATAAAGCTAAAGGCATTTAATCATAGTGCTGCTTAATGCCTTTTCCAAATATGTTTTCTGATTATTTTATCCTTATAAATACTCTATACAGTTAAGATGTGCTTCCTTAACTCATTCATCTTACCTCTTCAGTTGAGTGATGCCCCAACAGCAGTGTGGTTTCCAGTATTCTTAGAGCACAGCCTGCACCTTTGCAGCAGTTAGCTCAAGCTAGCTCTTTTGCCAGAAAGTAAAATTGGTGTAACAATTTGTTACAATTTGTATTGAGGAAGCAGCTCCTCTGTGAGAACAGTCAAGCAGCAGAGCAGGCCTGGAGCAGCACAGGGGGATTAGAATCCCACCATGTAACTGGCCCAAGCGCCACTCTTGTGCTCCCCACGTGTTCCTTGGGAGACGAGCTGGACTGCACGAAACCTCAGCTCAACGTTCCCAAGCATGAGAATTGGCTTAGCGACAACGCTCGAGTCATTCTTTAACAGAGCTGCAGGCAATATCAACTTAAAAGGGAGACCTGCAAGTGCTTAAGCAAATTTTTGGGTTTAGGTAATTTATATTAAATTTGAGTTTCATACCTTTCAGTATTAGTTTTCCTCAAAGCCCAAAAACAGCATCTGAGATACTGCCTGCATTTACTTTTGCAAAATGTTGGAGGCCAGGTGAATGTGCTGGCAGTCTCCACAGCAAGAAAATTGATATTTCTCCGCTGGCACAACCTCCAGAACTCAGTGCTGAGTGAGGCAGTATCTTTCAGGATATGCAGCTGTCATTTGTAGCATTTATTTGACCAACTGCCACAAGACATGACTCTATAATTCAGCCCAGTAGTATACAGTTTAAAGAGTTTTAGTTTAGAATGCAGAAAGAGTGCAGTTTAGTTCAGCAGATAAAAACAGAAAGAAATGTTATTCTTAAATGTTGTTCATCAGTCTTGCCTTTGACAGTTCATACAGAGGCATTCCCCACTTAGTAATTGGAGAGAACAAAAATGCATTTCTTGGTTCTTTCAGAATGACATTTTACACTCTATCCCCTTGAAGAGTATGAGGAGGTCCTGAACAAATTTTCATTTTGTACAAAACACATTTTTTAGAATTAGTGAGATCTATGAAATATGTAAAATAGGCCTGAGAAAATCAAATAATTAGAAACCTACATTTTGATTGATGTTAAATTGAATTTTAAAAAATCATTTATGTGAGTTTTGTAATTCTAGGGTTAGATTGTATTAAGGTAGGGTTTACTTTATGGGAATGATGAAAGATCGTAACATCTTGTAGGATATTTTTAATCTGCAAGGACAAATATAGTATTTCATTAATGGCATGGAGGAGGGAAAAGGTGTGAGTTCAGTACCTCTTAGGTTAATAAGATGTTATAAAATATAAACAAAAAAATCCAGAGCTATTACATTTAGGCAGACCAACTGTAAATATTTGTATACATTTAAGTAGGTTATATTTAAATAGGCAAAAATAGAATTTCTTATAAAACATTCAGGTGAATAGTCATCCATTGAAAAAGACTTTTGAGATGATAAAAATAATATGATAAAATTCTTTCACATTCATTACCACTTGCTCCATCTTAATGATATTCTCCTTTTGTTAAATATTAGACTAGAGAGAGAAAGCACTGTGCTTGGGTTGTATTTTTTATCTTCTTGTGTGATTTCAAAGAAATTATTTCAGAGGGGATATTAGCGAATATCCTAACAGCTTTAAAATACGAAAGAGGAAGGAAGTTTCTTTTTCATTCTTTGTTCCATAGAGCACCTCTTTATTTTTTACAAATTCTAACTGTACCCAGAACCGTTTTTTCCTGTTGCTTGGGACCTGGACCAGTAAGAGACTTTCATTAACTTAAGAATATGTTAGATCATGACATTAAGATTACAGACTAGTAAAAAGGTTAAGGACCCACACAGTTTCTGCGTAGAAACTAACTTGAAGGCCCTAGTTCAGAAAGATGTTATGAAAACTTACTGCTTGCTTTTTGGCATGAGGTTTCGTTCTCTTAGGTAAAATACTTTTTTCTCGTGTAATTCTTGAAGAAAACATATTTAGAGTCTAGGAATCATTTTGATTGGACAAGACTTTTAAAATCATCAAGTCCATTAACCCAGCACTGCCAAGGCCACCACTAAACTACGTCACTAAGCACCTCATTTATATGTCTTCTAAATACCTCCAAGGATGGTGACTCCACCACTTCCCTGGGCAGCCTGTCCCAATGCTTGACAACCCTTTCACTGAAGAAATTTTTCCCAAGATCCAATCTAAACCTCCTCTTGTGCAACTTGAGGCCATTTCCTCTCATCCTATCGCTTGCTACATGGGAGAAGAGACCAACCCCCACCTTGCTATAACCTCCTTTCAAGAGCTGTAGAGCGAGAAGGTCTCCCCTGAGCCTCTTTTCCACAGACCAAACAATCCCAGTACCCTCAGCTGCTTGTACAAGTCTTGTTCTCTAAACCCTTCACTAGGTTCACTGCCCTTCTTCGGACATGCTTGAGCACCTCAATGTCCTGTTTTGTTTATGTTTCACTGCAGAACAGACAAAAGATCAAAAAAGCTTTAAATATAGTTTCTGTGTTTCAATTCTTCCCTTATGCTAATGAATATAAGAACTCATTGCAAACACCACTTTGAATCACAGGTAGCTGCCATATATTTGTTAGGCTGATATCAATTAAATTAGTATATATTTAAAATTCCATTATGGTTATCTACAATTTCTACTAGTTTAATTCTTTAAAAACTGAGTTGCTGTTAAGAGGTGGACACTGACTACACATCTGGATATTGTCTCTGTGGCTGCAAAAATATTTTGTGGCTTTCAGATGCTGTAGGATATTCTCACAAGTTATATTCAGCTGGACTGTTCTAATTTTAATCTAGAAAAAAAATCTTAGCCACTTTAATATTACAGGTCATGTCTGCAGTGCAGATTGCTTCTGATGCTGCAATTAGGTTGCTCGTGGTATCCAATTTAGCTCTTCAAGGGACTGTGATCCATATCTCATAGACCTACACTTTCTTAAACAAACTTAGAAATTTGGGGGGGATTTGGTTTTTATGAACTTACTTGTAATGTGTAGTATGAATTTAACATCCTGTATAAATAGTATGGATAAAATTAACATAAAGTTAAACCTATTAATTACATCTGAGGTGACCGTCTCTGATTTCTAAAAATATTTTTCTGTGGCATTGTGTACATTGCTTAATTCACTGTTTTCTTGTACTATATTGAGTTTCACAGAGGGACTGAACATCCACCTGGGTAGTTATGAGGAAGACCGTCACTAAAAATGGGATTACTGGATTATTTGCTTGTAAATCTTTTGAAATCTTTCTAAAAAAAACTAATTTTTACAATCAGTAACAAGTGATTATAGATGTTAACATGCATAAATTATGTAGTATTTCCATCTTTGTGAACACTCTCAGCTATGGAATAGTTTGAATTTATAAAGCAACAGACATGCCAACATCCAGAAAGAGTTTTGGTATTATCATCACAAGTTACTGAACTACAACTGTCCGAGATGGATGCAATTCATTTAAAAAATAGAGGGATTTGGCTTGACAGATACAGCTGTATTTGCAGTTAAAAATGGTGAGAAAAGGTTCAGTTCAGGAAATATTTTTTTTCAAATTTAAATTATTTCTCTATTTCTTAAACTGTAATGCTTGTTTTTTTTCAGAAAGAATAAGAATTGGTACAAAGTAAATGTAACGGACCGTAGGTTTGGAAGCTACAGTATGGAGGTGTTTCTAGACTAATAAAGCTTCTTAGATGCAGTTTTTTAGTCCACTGCTAAAAATTTATAAATCGTCAGTACCAAAGCAGCACGTATACTTAGAAATAGTCATCCTAATTTTTCTTCATCTCACACCAGCTTCTATACTCAGCTTTTTTGGTTCTTTCTGCCTCAGAAACAGAGGTTAAGCTTCAGTGGCATTTTTCTTTTTCCCTTTGTGTCTTTGAAGAAGATACATTCTTGGGAACCTAAGAAATCTGAGTCTGGAACAGGTATTTTGAAGTAGAATTCACATAGTAAAATATTGTTTCCCAACTGTGGAATAGTAGGCCCAGGATAGATCCCATCTATCCTATGATGTGGTCATCTTAAGTTCAACTGTGATGCATTTTTTTATACAGAACTGGAAGATTTGGCAATTATATTAGTTATCATTAGATATTATTAGTTGTTATATTAGTTTGTTTGCTAGATGGCAGTAATTATCTTGATTACTGTGTAATATTTGAGACATTTGTGCAACAATTATTTCCCAAAAATTTTATCCTTCACATTTTCTACCAAAGTAGAAACATTATTTAAAATCTGTGTTAAATTTTTATGTTTAAACAGACAATCTTGACAATTTAACAAGTTCTAAATGAGTTGAGTTTTTAAATTTTACATGTATGTTATCTCATGTGTACTCACACAAGTGTACACATCTCATGTAACTTTCTTACCCTTCCTGAACCTGTTGAGGGACCACTGCTGCCCAGCTCTGTCCAGCGTTCAGTACATCTGTACATGGCTTATTATGTAGCTGGTGTTCTGGTTCCTGAGACATTCAGTAAGACAGAACATGACAGCTAAGACCCATTTTATTTTTCTTCTTGCATGGACTGTCTTTTTGATAGCTTTTTGATAGCTTTGCCAAAGCTACCACAAAGACTCTCAGTCTTGTTGATAGCTTTGGCAAAGATAACTTTTTGGCCCAGGACTATGTGCAGTAGTTATTTCTGCTGCTGACTAACATGGGTGTGTCCCTGATGATCATAACGCATCCTGGTCACTTAAACTCTGCATATTTGCAGAACAGAAAAGAAACCCCCAGGAATACCTTCTGGTGTCTTTTTCAAATCCTGGCAACTCCCCAAAACCAGTGAGCCTTACTAAATTGTATGACCTAACTCTTGGTACTAATTCAAAACCTCCAGCAACAAAGCTGGCCATTTTCCTGAGAGGTCCAGCAGGAAGTATTATTTCTCCTGATTTTCATCATTATGGCTCAATTGTAAGAGGACTTTCTGGCATCAAAGAGTGATCACAGGGGCTCCCAAGACCTCATGAAGATTTATAAGTGTCTTTTTCACTGCATAACAAAACTGCCTTGGCCAGAAAAGGGACTTTGTGTGGATACTTACAGTGTGACTGCTCATGCTGATCATGAATCCTCAAGATTTCAAATTACTGGTTCCTATCTTTTTATGAAGAACTATCATTCATTATAGAAAAGCAAATCTTTACCTGGGGGTGAAATTTTGCCTTTCTTGAATACGTAACATTCCAATAGTTGTATCAATAATTCACTAGTCCAAGTATCATTAGACTAAACCAGCATCACTTTTTAACTAAACCATTTTCAAAGTGTTTTGCTTTTGAATGTCCTTTCTATGTATGGCAACTGGAGACTGAAAATTCAACCTTGAATGTGTATAAAATGCTCATAGTCACAAAGTGTTCTTGACTTCCTGTGTGACCACCTGAGGATGCTCATCTCCCTAAGCTTTCTTACTTCCCTGGTACTTGTTCAGCTGCCCCCATTCCCTTCTCCCAGGCTGCAGAGGAAGAGATTCTCACGTCCTCCTGTTTTCAGCAAGTCTACATGATGCATGGGACTGCTGTTGTCCTGTCATGTAGGATGGCTGGGGCAATACTCGGTTCCTGCCATGCACAGAAGTCCTCTGTCATGCACACGTGTTGTCATGTCGGACTCTGGCAGCCTAAGGAGGAAATTACAAGATATCCAGATTAAAATGATACAGAGATAAAAGCTGATAGTAGTTCATATTTAAACTGCAAGAGATGCATATTTAAACAGCATGGCAGTTGAACCCTGCCCTCCCTGACTTTATCCATGTCAGGATTCAGGGCTCCCTGAACGTTGTCTTGTCCTACCTGGGAGGTCACAGGCCTCTGCTTGCCCTCCAGGAGCAGCAAGTTTGCAGTGACCCTTAGGGGCGGGCACACTGCCTCCCAGGGCCACTTATGTGCTGGAGCAAAGCAGCCAAGCAGGTCAAGGTACTCCACTTCTGTGGAGAGACAGAAGGGGCAGAAATGTGATGGACTTGAGGCAGGCAGCCCACACAGGATGGCATAGGTGAGCACGTAAGGCTACCGCAGTGGTAATCCCTACAGCCAGTAATTCTAGTGTTTTGAGGAATGTGAACAGGCAGAACCGCCGCTCTGCACCAGTGTCCTATGGTACCGATATGTTCTGACCACTAAATGCTACTACAGCGCTTCAGTCTGAGGATAACCGATAGTGAGCACCTCCCTTTCTCTTCCAGGCAGGTGTTGTTCCACGGCTGTTTAAAGTTGCTCCTGCTTGTGCCATAATGATCACCACATAGGAATATGCAACATCTTTCCTTTCCCATTTAAATGGGAAAGTGAACCAATGCCCTTAATCCTCCTTCACCCGATTGTACGAAGCCAAAATATTCAGTGAAAGTTACACTGAATTTGAATCCGTTGAGTGGTTTTCTAGAATTCACAGTGAATTCTTGCCAGCACATTTGGTAACTAAATACAATTTCATTTGTAACTGTTTCACAAAGCATAAATTAACTTTTTTCTTAAGACTAAGAAAATAAACACGACCCTTAAATTATCATTGAAGGTTTTATGAATTCTTTCAGCAAGAGATAAAAAAGAAAGGAGGAGAGAGAAAAAAAAAAAAAAGAAAGAGGAGGTGATGACTGTTCTTTAGTGATGATTAAAAGGGAAAAGAAATTGAGGCTAGACAGAGCACTAAGGAGTAACCCCTGCCACTGGGTTAATTTTCAGTCTGCCTACACATTTTTCTTGGGTATCTCTGTTGAGAAAATGTTTTGGGCTTCCAATTGTATGATATGATTATTCCTCCATGAGGAGGCCAATACAGAATGAAATCAATAAAACTTTATTTACTTTTGCTTAATACACATCTAATCATGTGCATGCTTGTTATTTGCATCTCTCTGCAAATTTCTCTAAATGCATATTACAAAATCATAGAATCATAGAATCAT